AAGATGGAAATATCGAGGAGTTAAGAGCCCTCAGGAGCAGCCCTCAGCCATGACTAATGAGGCTTGGTGGATTAATACCCCAGCTCCCTCCTCCTGAGCTGGGCTGACTCTGTGATGTCTGCTCTCTGCTGCCCCCAAGAGGTCCCCCATGGGACTGCGTCTCAGTTGTCCACAGTGAGAACTTGTTCCTTCCCCATTTCACTCCCCTACTGCCCTATTGGGGTTTTCTGGGATTACCTCCTAGATAAATGACTTACACTCAGATCCTTATCTCAGGGTGTCCTTCTGGGGAACCCAATGAAGACACCTAGCAAGTAGGAAATGGGCATGGGAAGGAGAGCCAATTCTTTTTTTTTTTTTTTTTGAGGCAGAGTCTGGCTCTCTTGCCCAGGCTGGAGTGCAGTGGTCGGATCTCAGCTCACTGCAAGCTCCGGCTCCTGGGTTCACGCCATTCTCCTGCCTCAGCCTCCCGAGTAGCTGGGACTACAGGCGCCCGCCACCTCGCCCGGCTAGTTTTTTGTATTTTTTAGTAGAGACGGGGTTTCACTGTGTTAGCCAGGATGGTCTCCATCTCCTGACCTCGTGATCCGCCCGTCTCGGCCTCCCAAAGTGCTGGGATTACAGGCTTGAGCCACCGCGCCCGGCCAGGAGAGCCAATTCTAACTGGTCTTTATTCCTTTGTCATTCAGGGAATTTCACAGTTGGCGTCCCCTATCGAATCACTGTGACTGCAGTTTCTGCTTCGGGTTTGGCCCCTGCACCCTCCATCTGGGGGTTCAGAGAGGAACTAGGTAAGAGGTGGGGCTGGAGGATGGGGGGGCTCCTGTAACCCAGGCCGACCTTGACCTACTGCCTTCCTCTCCAGCACCCCTAGTGGGGCCAACGCTTTGGCGACTCCAAGATGCCCCTCCAGGGACCCCCGCCATAGCGTGGGGAGAGGTCCCAAGGCACCAGCTTCGAGGACACCTCACCCACTACACCTTGTGTGCCCAGGGTGGAACCACCCCCTCCGTCTGCATGAATGGTGAGCTTCTCTGCCTGCTAACCTATCCTCCCAGCCCCCACAAGACCCACCCATCCGTCAACCCCACCCCTTGTCCCCACGTGGGCCTCTTTGGCCCAGGGACCATACATAGTGTCCTCAATTCCCTCTTGGCTATCAATGTAATGAACTTTCAGCCATTAAAAATGAGGATGCCAATCTATATTTATCGACATTGAAAGATGCCTATCATATTTTATTAGTGAAAAAGATAAAAGGATGTCAAAATTCCGTGGTACGGTTCCATTTTTTTTTTTTTTTTTGAGACGGAGTCTTGCTTTGTCACCCAGGCTGGAGTGCAACGGTGCAATCTTGGCTCGCTGCAACCTCCTCCTCCCAGATTCAAGCGATTCTCCTGCCTCAGCCTCCTGAGTAACTGGAATTACAGGCATGCACCACCATGCCCAGCTAATTTTTGTATTTTTAGTAGAGACGGGGTTTCACCATGTTGGTCAGGCTGGTCTGGAACTCCTGACCTCGTGATCCACCCGCCTCGGCCTCCCAGAGTGCGGGGACTATAGGCTTGAGTCACCATGCCCGGCCTATATGTAATTTTAAATATATATATATAGAAGGTCTGGTATGGTGGATCACACCTGTAATCCCCACACTTTGGGAGGCAAAGGCAGGCAGATCACTTGAGGTCAGGAGTTTGAGACCAGCCTGGCCAACATGGTGAAACCTCATCTCTACTAAAAATACAAAATTAGCCAGGCCTGGTGGCGCAGCCTGTAGTCCAGCTACTCAGGAGGCTGAGGCACTAGAATTGCTTGAACCCAGGGGGTGGAGGTTGCAGTGAGCCGAGATTGTGCAAAGAAAAACTAAATAATATCTAAGCAGCGTATAAGATGGTGATAACTGCTGAGTAGAGAATGAAGCCAGGGGCTGGGCATGGTGGCTCACACCTATAAACCCAGCACTTTGGGAGGCCGAGGTGGGCAGATCACCTGAGATCAGGAGTTTGAGACCAGCCTGACCAATATGGTGAAACCTGGTCTCTACTAAAAATATGAAAATTAGCCAGATGTGGTGGCAGGCACCTGTAGTCCCAGCTACTCAGGAGGCTGAGACAGCAGAATTGCTTGAACCTAGGAGGCGGAGGTTGCAGTGAACTGAGATCATACCACTGCAGTCCATCCTGGGCAACAGAGTGTTACAGAGCGAGACTCCATCTCAAAAAAAAAAAAGAGAATCAAACAAGGAAGGTGGGTGGTGAAGGGGGTGCAATTTCAAATAGAGCGGGGTCAAGGAAAGTCTCATGGAAGAGGTGACCTTTGAGCAAAGACCTAAAAGAGATGAGGAAGGAGCCATGCTGATATCTGGGAGAAAGTGTTGCAGACAGCAGGAAGAGCACATGCAAAGGCCCTGTGGTAGGCTTGACCACCTCCCCAACTTCTTTGGTTGTGTTCTCCAGTGAGTGGCAACACACAGAGTGTCACCCTGCCTGACCTTCCTTGGGGTCCCTGTGAGCTGTGGGTGACAGCATCTACCATCGCTGGACAGGGCCCTCCTGGTCCCATCCTCCGGCTTCATCTACCAGGTAGGGGGGTTGGGATGGGATTGCCACAGGGAGGGGATGCGCTCCAGGTAGCGTCTGGAGTCATTACTTGGAAGCTGGTGCAGTGGCTCACCCCTGTAATCCTAACACTGTGGGAGGCTGAGGCAGGAGAATTACTTGAGCCCAGGAGTTCGACACCAGCCTCGGCAACATAGTGAGACCCCATCTCTAAAAAAATAAAACAATTAGCTGGATGTGGTAGCATGCGCCTGTGGTCCCAGCTCCTGGAGAGGCTGAGGCTGGAGGATCACTTGAGCCCAGGAGTTGGAGGCTGCAGTACGCTGATTACACCACTGCACTCCAGCCTGGGCAACAGAGCAAGACCCTGTCTTTAAAAAATTAAGAATTGCCAGGCGCAGTGGCTCACACCTGTAATCTCAGCACTTTTGGGAGGCCAAGGTGGGTAGATCAATTGAGGTCAGGAGTTTGAGACCAGCCTGACCAATGTGGTGAAACTCCGTCTCTACTAAAAATACAAAAATTATCCGGGCGTGGTGGCGCGCGGCTGTAATCCCAGCTACTTGGGAGATTGAGATAGGAGAATTACTTGAACCCAGGAGGCAGAGGTTGCAGTGAGCTGAGATGGCACCACTGCACTCCAGCCTGGGCGACAGGGCAAGACTCCGTCTCAAAAATAAAAATAAAAAATAAAATAAAATAAAAATTAAGAATGATCTCTTCCCTACCCTACCAGATAACACCCTGAGGTGGAAAGTCCTGCCGGGCATCCTGTTCTTGTGGGGCTTGTTCCTGATGGGGTGTGGTCTGAGCCTGGCCACCTCTGGAAGGTGAGGCTGTCAGATACATGTATCTCTGCCCACGTGGGGAAGGCGGCTGGGCATTTCATTGAGCTTCCAGGGGGCTTGAAGGGAGGCCTTGGGGTTCAGTCACATTCATGAACCCTGCACCCTGGGCTGGGGCATCTGGCCATCTGGATCCGCTGCCCTGACTCCTCCTGGCTTGCCAGGTGCTACCACCTATGGCACAAGGTGCTGCCCCGCTGGGTCTGGGAGAAGGTTCCTGATCCTGCCAACAGCAGTTCAGGCCAGCCCCACATGGAGGTGAGTCAAAGGGCCGGCTAGTCGGAGCCCTCTGGGGCAGTGGGAAGAGGGTGAGGGGTAGGTGGGGGAGGCTGGGGCAGGATTACAAGCTCCTCATCTCTTCCCAGCAAGTGCCTGAGGCCCAGCCCCTTGCGGACTTGCCCATCCTGGAAGTGGAGGAGATGGAGCCCCCGCCGGTTATGGAGTCCTCCCAGCCCCCCCAGGTCACAGCCCCACTTGACTCTGGCTATGAGAAGCACTTCCTGCCCACACCTGAGGAGCTGGGCCTTCTGGGCACCCCCAGGCCGCAGGTTCTGGCCTGAACCACACCTCTGGCTGGGGACTGCCAGCCATGCCAGATGGATGCTCATGCAGGTTGCACTCCAGTCCTGGATCCTCTTGATGGATGAAGACACTGAGGGCTCAGAGAGTCTGAGTCACTTACCTGAGGACTCCCAGCCAGGCAAAGGTGGGATTGAAGGACCCCTGTAGAGAAGGGCTTGGCCTCCATGGGGAAGGCATGGATGGAAGATGGAGCAAACGAAAATACATGAAATTGGCTGCCTGCCAAAATCTGTTCCGCTATAACAGAATTGCATTCAGACCCCAGCACAGTGGTTCACGCCTATAATCCCAGCACTTTGGCAGGCCAAAGTGGAAGGATCACTTAAGGCCAGGAGTTCGAGACCAGCCTGGGCAACAGAGCAAGACCCCTTACTACAAAAATGAAACATCAAAAACAAAAACAATCAGCTGGGCATGATGGCACACATCTGTAGTCCCAGCTACTTGGAAGGCTGAGGCAGGAGGATTGGTTGAGCCCAGGCGTTCGAAGCTGCAGGGAGCTCTGATTGCACCACTGCACTCCAGGCTGGGAGACAGAATGAGACCTTATCTTAAAAATAAATAAAAAGAAAAAAGAAAAAAAAATACTGCATTTGGGCATCACCTCAGCTCCCTTGCAGCCAGGTGCAGCATGGACTGAGTTCTTGGCAACAGAATGTGGTCAGAAGTGATGTGGCAACACAGGGTCTGGGTGGGGGCTCCCCCACATGCTTTCCTTGCCTATGAGCTGGAATATAACACTTGCCTATGATCCAGCTTTGGCCATACGCAAGGGGAAGGTGGAGCAAGAAATGAAAAGGAACCTGAATCCCTGAATGACTGCATGGATCAGAACCACTGAGAAAAATAAACTTTTATATTTTTATAGCTACTGTCGCTTTGAGGTCTTTTTGTTACAGCAGCTCAATCTATACTCTTACTGATTCATCATCTTTGACTGTAGCAGGGTTAAGCCTCAAATTTCCCACCAAGAAATGATGCTGTGATTCTGTGCTGACTACACACACAAGCTGTCTGAGTGCTTTCATGTTTTATTTTCAAGTATAAAGGCTTCATTGCAGAAGGAGGCCAGGGTCACAGGCAGTGGGCAAGGGGTCCGGAAGCCCAGGTGTAGGTGGACGTGCAGGCTAGCTGGCTCCCAGGTGCCACGGTCAGTCCTGTGGTGCCCTGTCTGCGCCTGGGACCCTCTACTGGGTGCCAAGAGGCCGAGGTAGCTGTGAGAGGAGCTGGACGTGGGGTGGAGGGGTGCGGGCTCACATGACCGCACAACACTGGCACGTCTTTTGCTTAGGGCCGCTTGCCTCTTCACCCGGGGCAGATGGCTCAGGCTGCCGGGCAGGCGCATAGGTGGGCACAGGGTGGGCACTGGGGTTGGCGCTGGGCCCCTCCTGAAGCAGTGGCTGGCATTCGGCGGGCTGCTCTGGGGCTGGGGTCTCTGCCAGAAGGGGTGTGGCATCCCCCAAGGGGCCTTGGCCCTCAGCAGCGGTTTGGGGCTTCACTCCTTCCTCCTCCGGGGCTCCTACTGGCTTCTCCTGGGGCTGGGGTCCTTCCTCCTCTGGCCTCGTCTCCGTGTTAGCCTCAAGGGGAGGCCCTGCCTCATTCACCTCCTCTGCCTGGGATTCACTTCCTTCCCTAGACTCCTGTTGTTCTAGATTCAGATCTCCCTTGGTCCCTTGGATCTTCTCTGCCTCCAGTGTCTCCTCCCCTCCCTTCCTCTCTGCCTCCAGTAGTGTCTCCTCCCCCTCCTTCCTCTCTGCCTCCCAGTGTCTCCTCCCTCCCTTCCTCCTCTGCCTCGAGTGTCTCCTCCCCTCCCTTCCTCTCTGCCTCCAGTGTCTCCTCCCCTCCCTTCCTCTCTGCCTCAGTGTCTCCTCCCTCCCTTCCTCTCTGCCTCCCAGTGTCTCCTCCCTCCCTTTCCTCTCTGCCTCAGAGTGTCTCCCACTCCCCTCCCTTTCTCTCTGCCTCAGTGCTCTCCTCCCCTCCTTTCTCTCTCTGCCTCCAGTGTCTCCTCCCCTCCCTTTCTCTCTGCCTCCAGTGTCTCCTCCCCTCCCTTTCTCTCTGCCTCCAGTGGTTCTTCGGTTGCCTCTGGCTCTTCCTCCCCTCCTTTCTTCTCTACTCCCAATGGTTCTTCTACCTCCTCCTTCTCTGCCCCTCGCTTTTCCTCACCTTCTTCCTTCTCTGCCCTCAAATGTCCCTCAACTTTTCTCTCTACGCCCAGTGGTTCCTCAACTCCTTCCCTCTCTGTTCCCAGCTTTTCTGCACCTCCACTGCTCTCCAGTTCCAACTTCTTCTCCCCTCCTTTCCTCTCTACCACAGGCGACATCTCCGCTCCATCCCTCCCTGTCCCTGGCTTTTCCTCACTTCCTATTCTCATGGATTCTTCCGCTTTTCTCTTCTCTGCCTCCCAGGTCTCCTCACCTCCTCCCGTCTCAGCCTCCTCGGCCCCCAATGGGCTTTCATCTCCTCTCTCCCTCCCTGCCACCTCAGGCCCTTCCAACCCCTCCACTAGCAGCTCCTCCCACTCTTCACTGAGGGTCACTCTTTCCACCCAAATGAAGGACCCCTCCTCTCCTCCAGAACCTCCCTGCCCATCACCCTCAGGGCTGCCCCGGGGCACATCTTCCCCTTCTCTGGAAGCTGCTGCCTCTAATCTCTCCTGGTGCCTAGGCGAGCTGGACTGCACGGCCTCAGGGACCCTGCCTACCACCCCCGTGGCCTCTGTGTCGCTGCCGCCCACCCCCTCCCATACCACCTCCACGATGCCCCTGTCCTCCTTTACCCAGGCTGGGAGCTCCAGGCTACCAGCTCCCTTCCTGTCTCCGATGGCTTCCAGCACCACTTCCTCCACCTTAGCCTCCAGCTCAGGGCCCGTGGCCCCTGTGGCACAGTCCTCTGTGACCCTCAGCCCTTCCCACACCACACTCACCACACCCCCTCCTTTGGCCTCGCCCACCCGCCCTTTGGATGGCACCACCCTCTGACTTAGCCCCTGCTCTGGAGTAGGGATGGGGCTGGGGCAGGGGCCATTGGCTTCTGAGGCATCCCCTGCTGCCCCAGGGACCTGCCTCGGAGCTGGCAGAAACCCCAAGACATCCTCCCTGGGCTCAGAGGGGGACTCTGGAGGCGTGCCCACTAGTCTGGCCGGCAGGGAGGCTCTCTTCTTCAGATCAGTCTGGCCTGGGGGAGTCAGAGGCGGAGGGGAGAGGACAAAAGGGAAGACAGGGTTAAGATGGAACAAAAGGACCGCCATCCACACTCCCCTTGGGTCACCCTCTCACACCCAGGCTCTGGGGTGACCTGACCCCCAGACCTAGGGGCTCCCACACTTACCTACAGAACCTGCCTCAACAACGAGCTGGGAGAGAGGACGGTGACCCTGCAGAGATGGCGGAGACAAGGTCAGGCTGGCCCTCATCCCCACCCCCAGCCTCCCTGCATGCTAGGCTCCCACCCCACCACCCCTAAATACCCTCAATGGCTCTCTATTACCTTCAGGATCAAACTCCACAGTGCACCTCCGCCTTCCTCATCTATCTTATTGCCCTATATTCTAGGACCTTGCACACAGTAAGTGCTTAAACAATGCTGCATTCCCATAGCCAGTCTCCTGTATTAGGGGCCTACTTTGCCAGTTACTGGTTACCATGGACAAGAGACACTTAAGCCTTTTGTTATTGGCACTTACATTCCAATCAACATAAATACAAATTCAATTTTTTTTTGGAGATGGAGTCTTGCTGTGTTGCCCAGGCTGGAGTGCAGTGGCGCGATCTCCGCTCACTGCAAGCTCCGCCTCCCGGGTTCAAGTGATTCTCCTGCCTCAACCTCCCCAGTAGCTGGGATTACAGGGGACACACCACCATACCCAGCTAATTTTTGTGTTTTTAGTAGAGATGGGGTTTCACCATGTTGGCCAGGCTGGTCTCCCAATTCCTGACCTTAAGTGATCTGCCCACCTCGGCCTCCCAAAGTGCGGGGATCACAGGCGTGAGTCACCGCGCCCAGCCTGTACTGTTGTTATTCCCATTTTAGAGATGGGGAAACTAAGGCTTGGGAAAGGAAACTGACTTGCCCAAGACCACAGAGCAAAGTAACAGCGGGAAGCGGATCTGAATGCAGACCTAGTGGCCAGACTGCACTTGAAGAAAGCTGCATTCCTGGTTCCATGTTCCACTTTGAGGCCTGCTGGCCACGCCCCCCATCCCACTCCCCTGATCACCCCCTCACCTGTCTGCGCCAGCTGGGCCTGTCTGAGGGCTTGTGCTGGGCACCTGTGGAAGCACTTTGCAACAGCTGCAGCTGGGACTGGAGTCTGAAGAAGAGAGACGGCTGCTAGGACCTGGGCCCCCAGGCTCCTTGGGCTCCAGGTTGAAGCTACCAACTCCTTGGAATGCACCCAGGGTCTCGATCTCACCCAGCTGGGGCAGAGCTAGCAGGTCTCCACTCACGTGAACAAGCTGTCTTCCAGGTTCCGGATTCGGGCCTGAGCCTGGCCCTCCGGCGACTGGGGGTCCTTCGAGGTGGGGTCCTCGGATGGCTCTGGCCCTGCAGCTGCCCCATCCATTAGCCAACGTTCCCGGAGAGACTTCCTCTGGGCAGGGGAAGGGAGTCGGCGCTGGGCATACAGACTACTCCGGTCCATGTGAAGTCCCCTCCCGACCCCTGCAGGCTGGGCAGGTATCTTATCATCACCTCACAACCACTTAGATGCGACATACATCAGGCTGAGATACACCGCCACAGTGCCACCCAACGCTGTAAGTGGGCTGACATCCCTTGTCCAAACCCTTCCAAAATGAAACAGGCACTTCCAAAGTGAAATCAATGTCCCTCCCTGCTGGGCCCTCCCTGCCCCAAAGCTGGACTTCGGCTCCTCTCCATCTCCCCCAAATTGGGACAAACAGCATCACCGTCCCAGACTTTTCCCCACATGGAACAAATGTACCCATGACCACCCCACTTCGTCCCTCCCAGGCTGGGAAAGACGTCCCCCGCCCTGGCCAAGCTGGAACCAACGCCCCCAACTGCCTGCTCCCCCGCAAAATTGAGGTTCCTATCGTCCCCCAAACCGACTTGCACAGACACCCCCCTACTTCATTCCCCAGGCTAGGCAGGCGCCCCCGCCCGCCCCCAACCTTGAGCCGCTCCACGCGGAGTTTCTCCTCCTCCAGCTCCCGGCGCGCGGCGCGGATCTCCTCCTGCAGCCGCCGCTTCTCCTGCGCACAGAGGACCCGGAGCTGCCCGCCGGCCGGGCGCGGCCTCCACCACCTCCTCTTCCCTCCCTTTCCCCTCCCTCCTCCGCGGGGTTCCCCGGAGCTCCCGAGGCAGCGAGCCCGGCGGGGGTGGCCCAGCGCTGGTCTGCGCCCAGGGCGGGGAGGGGGCTGCGGAGGCGCTGACTCAGCGGCGGGCGGAATGGGGGGGCGGAGGAGGGCGGGGCGGGGGCGGGGCCGGCCGCGCCCGGGATGCTGCGGAGGCCTCGCCCGCGCCCAATGGGGGTCTGTGGATGGGGGGATGTAGGGGGTGGGGCCTTGGGACAGCGATCGGGGGAGGGGCAGAGCTGGGAAGCTCCGAGATACGAGGTTCAGAGAAATGGGGATCAAAGGAAGGGTGCGGCCGGACGCGGTGGCTCACGCCTGTAATCCCAGGATTTTGGGAGGCCGAGGCGGACAGATCGCTTGAGGTCAGGAGTTTTATACTACCCTGGCCGACATGGTGAAAACCGGGCTCTACTAAAAATACAAAAATTAGTTGGGCGTGGTGGCGCGCGCCTGTAATCCCAGCTACTGGGGAGGCTGAGGCGGGAGAATCTCTTGAACCTGGGAGGTGGAGGTTGCAGTGAGCGGAGATCGTGCTACTGCACTCCAGCCTGGGAGACAGAGCGGGACTCCGTCTCAAAAAAAGAAAACAGGAGAGGAGGGTGCTAGTGAGATGGGGGTCTGAAATGGCGATGCAGCCATGGGAGCACAGAGTAATGGAGTGTAGACATGGAATCTAGAGAGATGGGGTGCAGAGGTGGGGATGCAGAGAGATGGGGTACAGAAGGGGAGTACAGTGAGATGGGGTACAGAAGGGGAGTACAGTAAGATGGGGTACAGAAGTGGGGTGCAGATAGATGGGGTATAGAAGTTGAGTGTACAGAAGTGGGGTGCAGATAGATGGGGTATAGAAGTTGGAGTGCTGGAGAGATAGGGTGCAGAGGTGGGGACGCAGAGAGATGGGGTACAGAAGTGGAGGTACAGTGAGGTGGGGGCAAGGGGGTACAGAAGTGGGGTGCAGATAGATGGGGTATAGAAGTTGAGTGTGGAGAGATAGAGTACAGAAGTGGGGTATAGAGAGATGGGATGCAGAAGTGGGATGGAGAGAGATGGGGTACAGAGAGATGGGGTGCAGGGAGATGGAGTTCCATAGATGGGATAAAAAGGGTGCTAGTGAGATGGGGATCCAAAATGGGGGTGCAGCCTGGGAGTCCAGAGAGATGGGGTGCAGAGATGGGGATCAAAAGGAGGATACTAGTGAGATGGGGGTGCAGCCACGGGGGTCCGGAGATACTGAAGTGTAGAGGTGGGGATCGGGGAGATGGGATGCAGAGATGGGGTCAGAAATATGGGGTACAGAGGTGGAGGTATGGATAGATGGGGTATGGAAGTGGGTGCAGAAAGTTGGGGTGCAAGGAGATGGAGGAAAGAAGGATGGAGGACAGAGATAGGATCAGAGTGGTAGAGACCCAGAGATGGGGGAGTCCAGAGAGACGAGGAAGTCAGGGATGAAAGTTGCCAAGGAAGGACTCAGGATGGGGGCTCCGAAGTAGGGAGATTTGAGAGATAGTGGTCTGATACAAGGCGGTTCGAGAGATGGGGCTCAGGCATGGGGTATTTGAGAGGCTGGGGTTCAGGAATGAGGCATAGACGATGCAGGCTCTGGAAGTGCGGGGGCCACAGCCCCTCATTCTGAGGGTGATAGTGACCAGACAGGAACTCGGGGGCAGAGGGAGCTGAGAATTCGTGCGGGGAGCCCTGGGCGGGGCTGGAGCTGAGGGCGGTCTCCGCAGGGATAACGAAGAAACGAGGAGGGAGCATGGGGGAAAGTTTGGGGGTCCCCAGGGTGCGGGTAGGGCGTCACTTACAGCGATGACTTCTAACCGCTGCCGGTAGAGGGAGCTCTCCGCCATGGGCCTGTGAGGAGAGGGCACGGGCTTTGAGGGGCTCCAAGAGGCCGTACCCGTCTTGAACCCCCCTCTCTTTGCCAAGATCCCTGAGCAGTGTGGAAACCGCCCAGAGCCCAGCAGTTTGCTTGTGTTTCCCCTTGGCACACGGGAAGAGTCTGGGCAGGGGGCAAGGGTCTTGGGAGGGGAACTGAGCAGTGACCATGACTGGTGACTTTCTCTCTTAGCCCTTCCTAAATCTGGCTTTGCCTCTCTCCGCCTCAGTTTCCTCATCTGTAAAATGGGCAGGAATAGCTTGACCACCCTGCCCTTGCCACCCCCGATCTCAGAGGACCTTTACAAGGAACTATTCATGCAGGGAAAAGCTCAGGATACAGTGCTGCAAAAATAGTCCCATTGTTTATTAATAATCATAATTTATAGAATTCCATGATGAATAATATGTATGATTAATGATAATAACCATCCCCAGTCCGACCTGCAGAAACTCTCAAATGCCACCAAGCCCCTAACAAGCTGTGTGCCTCTTTTTCTTCCCAATCCCACACCCTCTTTGGACCTCAGCTCCAACCCAGAATTTCTCAAGCGCTGGGGGGTGAGGGAGTCTGTGGCCCTCCCACTGTTGCCCTGGTAACTCCAGAGCTGCCTCCTCTACCTGCTAACCCCCCTCCCTGGGGACAAGGGTCACTGGGTCACTCTGCCTAGGACTGGACTCTGAGCTGGGAGGAGGAGGACTTGTCATTTAAGTTTTAACTTGAGATTCCCCTGTCGTTGTCTTCCTCAAAGCATCTCTGCTTCCCAGCCTCCAGAGTGGCCTCTGGACCCACTTAGGCTCCCCCTGGAAGCTGGAGGGTGACTGTCATACTGCAAGATGATTAGGGGGCAGTCAGTGGCACACCAACCTTATCAACACAGACATGCATTGGGCACCCCCGACTATGTCGCTATGTTGACCATGTGTCACAGGCCAGTATCTAGAAAGCAATGTCTTTCTGCCTGTCACCTCCAACACCCGACATGGACGGGCGCTGGGCATGGACGGGCGCTGATCAAGCCCTCAAACATTTATTAATTTGAACAGTTACCCTACTGGGTAAGCCTCATTGCCCAAACTCCAGCTAGGACCTCCCAGATCTTCCGTGGCCACAACGTGAAGGCATAATAGCACTTACAGTGCTTTATGTGTGATATATATATACTATATATAGCATATAATGTTCTAAGTGCCCTATGGGGTTTCCACTGGGTTCCCACAGCCACCTCTGCCTCCCCTTCCCTGCCTCTATCATGACACAGTGGAGTCGACTCTTTGCTGAGTTGACATTCCAGCTAAGAACAAAATCAGCCAACCATTAGCCAGCCCGTAACACGTGCCGAGTGCAATGTAATTCACTGAATCCTCCCAACGACTCTAGGAGGTAAGCTATAGGAATGTGTCCATTTTATGGATGGGAAAACTGAGGTTCTGAGAAGTGGCAGCAGTTAGACTTGTCCAAGGTCATGGAGCCAAGATCAGAACTTGAAGCTGTCACATCCAAAATACTGAGAGCACAGTTGGTGAGGGGGGCGGGGGTGCAGGTCCAGGAACCCCCATCAAGGCAGCTAAGAGATCCGCCTGAGGACCCTGAATGCTGTTTGAGGCAAGGTATTAAAGGCATGCTCTTTTTTTTTGAGTCGGAGTCTTGCTCTGTCTCCCAGGCTGGAGTGCAATGGCTCAATCTCAGCTCACTGCAACCTCTGCTTCCTGGGTTCAAGCAATTCGCCTGCCTCAGCCTCCTGAGTCACTGGGATTACAGGCATGCGCCACCAAACCCAGCTAATTTTTGAATTTTTAGTACTGATGGGGTTTCACTATATTGGCCAGGCTGGTCTTGAACTCCTGACCTCAAGTGATCCGCCCACCTCGGCTTCCCAAAGTGCTGGGATTACTGGCGTGAGCCACCTCGCCCAGCCACGAAGTCATGCTTTGCAAGATATCCCAAAGGAAGTCCCGATTCCATGCTTATAGGTTTGCCCCTGGGGGAGGGCTGAAGTCCCGTGGTCTCCTCTACCACCCCCAAGATGTAATCTCCCTGCCTCTTCCTTGCTGGGGGGGATCGGGTTCCCATTGCTAAGCAACCAGGTTTGTAGTTGGTGAATAATGCAATGGAGGACCTAGAAGGGTGAGGAACTGAACTGGGGTCCCTAGTGTGGGGGGGAAGACCCTTTTCCAAAACTCTTTCCAAACCTCTGAAGCCCCCTCTACCCTTTTAACCTTAAAAAGCTCTCACCCCTCGGCTATGAAAAGACTTCACACACCCCATTCCATCTTGCTTATCTCTAACTAACTCTGGAAGAACAACATAGGCGGCCCGGGCTTCTGGCCACTCGCAAGAGTTGGTGGCCATTTCATGAAGGAGGTCATCTTTGCAATGTTGCCATTGTCTTTCCCAGGCTGGGAGCTTTTAACTGTTGGATCTCAAGCCTTTTCTCCCACCCTGGACACTGAGGGGGTGATTCTGGAGGCAAAACGTGGAACCTAGTGACCCTGACCTTCCCCACTCCCCGCACCACAGCTGTAGCCCCACCCCCTGGCTGGACTTTGGGTTTTCAGCCCTGGCAGTGGAAAATACCTGAAGAGGAAGGGGCAGGGGGAGCCTATATCTCTCTCCCACCCCATGACTCTTTAGGGAAGGGTGACATTGACGAGCCTATGGGGTTGGCTGGCCACCCCCTCCACTCCTCAGGTCCCCTTAGGAGAGGCCACTGGAGCGCTCAGCTCCCATACAAGGCCAGCATCCCCTATGAGCCCCTCCCAAGGCCCTGCCCACCAGCCCCCCTGACCCCAAAGACACTTACATGGGTGTGGCCAGAGACCACACCTGGCTCTGCAGGGCCATCTCTGCCCAGAAGTTCACTTTCTGGTCTCCGAGTTCTGGACCCACCACTCGCTTGCCTGAAGGTGCCCCGGAGGCTGTGACTTGGCTGCCTGGAGTGGGGGGGGGCTGCGGGCGGGCACCGGGAGAGCTGGTCCAGCGGGTTTGGGCCAGGGAGGCGGGAGGCACACCAGAGAGGGGGGCTGGGGGCTGGAGGGCAGTTCTGGGGAGGTACTATCAGCTGTCCTGATAAATTATTCACCAGTCTCTGGCCTCTTTGTTGCACTCAGCTGCCTCCCGGAAAACATGCTTTCACACACGCATGGTCAGGCGTGGGGGTGAGAGTACT